GCAGGGAAACCAGGCAATATGTCACTGGAAGAATGCAGGTAAGTGGTGCTGGTAGCTGAACACAACGCATGCAAAAGAGGTTGGATTCTGTTTCTTTCCTTTTTTTGCGGGGGGCGGTGCAAGGGATTGAACTTACAACTTGCAAGGCAGGCACTTACGCTGCTGTGCTAAATACCCAGCCCGGATTCTGGTTCTTTTTTTTTTTTTTTTGTCAGAACAGAACAATTTAAGCAACACAATATTTCACCACTAGACAGCCTGATATAACAGTAGCTACCATAATGCCTCTTTCTTTAAAATAGTTGAGCATACCTCGATACACAATAGTATCAAACATAACAAAATAGTATAAAATCATTAAAGAGAATGAAAGTATTACAGAGCATTCAGAACCAAATAACAGAAAATGAGCAATGGTTACTATATTATCTCATTGTCCATAAAAAATTTGTTTATACTATCACACATAATAAAATCCAATAAGATACCACATGATAGAACCAATGGAAACAGAAGAACAAAAGTATGGTAGGACTTCAAAACAAGATGATATTAAGTCAGCACTGACTATTATAATGTCTTGTTTTCTTCAATATAGCTGTTCAAGTCAGGGGTGGTAGCTCACACCTGTAATCCCAGCACTCAGGAGGCTGAGGTGGGAGGATCATTGTGAGTTTGAGACCAGCCTGGGCTACAAAGTGAACTCAAGGCCAGCCTGAACTGCATAGTGAGACCCATCTCAAAAAAGACAAAAAAAAAAACCCAGCTGTTCATACCATCACACATAATAAAATCAAACAACCCAGGATAAAACCATTCCAGCTAATGAATGGATACATTATAAGGCTTCAAAGCAATGTAATGGGGAATCATGATTACCATAAACGTTTATGTACTCTTACCATTTCTTACACTCGGGAGACTATATGGTATTTATACATGTGAGTTTGATTTATTTTGCTTTTTTAAGTATTGTCTCAAGTTGTGTCCATTTATTTATAAATATCTCAATGTGATAATTCTTTACAGCTGAGTAGTACTCCATTATATAAAAGTATCACAACTTTTCTATCCATTCCTCAGTTGTTGGACATTTAGGTTGTTTCCAAGATCTAGCTATTACAAATTGTGCTGCTATAAACATGGGTGCACATATATCACTGTGGTATGATGTTTTCAGTTCTTCTGGGAATATACCTAGAAGCAGAATAGCCAGGGCCTGAGCTGGTGTGCAGGAACTCACCCCCACTGGCAGCCCAGTTTCCCAGATTGAAAGAAGGTCACTGGGCTTGGTCCAGGTAGGCCCAAAACCTGCAGAGCCCAGCCTGGTGTAGCTGGAAATGGGGAGGGTCTTTGACTACTGGGAGCGATGATCTTAAACTCTTCTGGGGCTCGGAATGGTGTGCAGGAACTCACCTGGATTCTGGTTCTTTTAAAGGCCAGCTGACATGATTTATTAATATGATGCATGAGGAAAAAAAAGTGATGAAGTTAGATGATCCCAGGTTTGGGGCTTATTTGTAAGGATAGACAGAAGTGCAAAACTGGTCACAGTATTTTCAGAAGTTAGGTGCTAACTGCGTTGAGTCTGATGTTCCATATCACTAAGCATAGGTTACAAACATCAAGGTACAGTTACACTGTGCTTGAGAGGCTCTGGAAACACCCCAAATGTGGAATTTTGTGTGCAAAGGGAATAGAATTGTGTTGGAATTAGAAGGAATTTTCTGCTCATGAGTGGCAATGCCAGTAAGCAGAGGAAAAAGGTGAGACCTAAGGACAAATTATATTGCTTGGTATGTAAGAGGGCATCACAGGACAGAAGAGGGATAACAGTGACCATGAGAGGGTGCAGGATCTAGTAGGTAGCCAGATTTTTTCGTGGGTAAAATAAGATAGATACCGAGGCTTCACAGGATTGGAAGTAAAATTGCCGTATAACCTAGGATAGGGTTTATTCAACTTTATGGACTCACGAGGGCTTGATGATGACTCTTAGGGATGAATGAACCAAATATACAACATAAAGGAGAGGGACCAAAGGTATTGAATGTGTGTGGTTATGATAGGCTGAAGTCTCATGCAGCTAGAAGGAGCAGCCTTCAAAGCATGCTTGAGTGCTGTCCTTGCCAGTGGGAGCCATCAAAGGTGTTTTATTTTGAATTATGTCCCCTCAAAACAGACATTGAGTGTTAACACTCAGTACCTCAGAATTTATAGTGCCTTATTTGGAAATAGAGGTTTAAGAAGTAAGCAAGTTAAAATGAGGTAATTCAGTAAGCTTCAATCCATTATGACTGATTTCTGTATATAAAGAGGACTTTTGGACGAGGGAAGATGATGTGAAGGACACAGGTGATAGTCCTATGACTAGAGTGACATGTCTATAAGACAAGGAACATCAAAGATTAGAAGCAAAGATCAGAAGTTAGAAGAAGCAAGGAAAGATTCTGCCCCAGAACCATCAGAGAGAACAAGGTTGTACCAATGTCTTGATTTTAGACTTTAGATTTTAACCTCTAGAATGGCAAGTTTAAAAATTTCTGTTTTAAGTCACCCAGTTTATGGCACTTTGTTTACTGGGACAAATGAAATCTTGGTTGCTTCTACCAAACAGTTTCTGTTTGCCATGTATAGAGGGACTTACGGAAGCTCCATGCAAATGGCTTGTGGTATGTGCCAGGGCTGGATAACAGTGGCAATGGGAGTTCACAGATGGGGCCAAAGCTATGAGGGTGGTGCCATCTGTATGTGGCATGCCTTTAGGAGGAAACATTAATTCTAGGGGTCAAGGAAGAAGCTCACATCCACTTTTGCTTGTAACTAGAAGATATGATTTTGGATACACCAGGAGACATGGTTGAGCCTTGTGCCTTTAACATTTTCTATATTTTATTAAGATTTGACATTTTGGGGTCTGGCTGATCCTGGAGAGCTTGTGGTAAGTTTGAGGTAAATTTCCTAGTGTCCATGCATGTGTCCCTAGAGGACTCAAGTCACATGTTGACCCCATTACAACTGATCTGACTCAATTAAGCTTCATTTACATATATAGATATCCCTCATTTAATTGGCCTACCTGTTTAGCAGCTGCTCAGACTTTCAACCCCACTGCTCAGACTTAGTACCTTTTTTTTCTAATAGATTTCTTTCTTTCTTTCTTTTTTTTTTTTTTGGTACCCAGGATTGAATTCATGACTTCACACTTGCCAGGCAGGCACTTATGTCACTGAGCTAAATCCCAGGCTACCTTTTTTTGTATAGTTCTGTAATCTTGTTTATAGAGCTTCAGTGTCTTTTTTGTGTACAGTACACTTTGTTTATACAGTACTATAATTTTTGCCGATTGAACTGTATAATATGTAGTTTTACATTGTTATATATTACAGTATTTCATCTGAGAGTCATGTAAGTAAAAGCAAAGTAATTAAGTTGGAATTTTCTTTTTTTATTGTCCTCAAATAGAGGACGTATCAGATATTAAACTGATAAGAACAGATACTACACTTGATCTTAGCCAAAAGGCTGAGAAGCAATCAAATTGGAGTTTTCCTTGTCCATGTTTTGTTCTGAATTTTTTAATGTACATACTATATACAGTTTCTCATATAGTGACCAATTCATTTAATGACCTAACTGTGGTACCAGAACTTGGGTGTTAAATGAGTAATATCTATCTTTGTGGTTTTGGCTTCTCCTCTTCGTGTAGGACTTTTGAACAAAAAGAGGTGCAAGTTAGGTACAAAAGACCACTGTATGTATTCATTTGGGCCAAGACCTTATATCTTCAACCCCTGCTGCAAACAGGAGGCTGGAGTCTCACTATTGATTGGAAGAAACCCTGATAACAACAAACACCCACAATTCCTAAATTCTAACAGGATGGAGACTGCAACCTGGTCCTTACAACATTTTCTGTCCTTCACTGAGATGCTCATTCTCCTTTTTTGGGGGAGTATACTATCCTGTACAAGAGAAGCTGCTTTGCTTAAGTGTGTAACATGATTACTATTCAATAAAGTTGCTTGTAAAGCCTATTACTTACTGACTGAGTTCCTTTCTGTGAATCTCCTCAAAGATCTTCTCTGGGAGAGTCTAAGCACCCAGACAGTCTACACAACACAGACACAGGAAACTCATATAAGTGTGATAGGGATGATAAGGCATAGTGGAGACAGGAAAAAACTTACAAGAAGAAAGTGGTAAAAAAACCAAAAAATTATATTATTGTGTAAAAAAAGGTAAACACTACTCATAAGGAAACTTGCTGAGTAAATGTGTTTCACATTTTGATAAATATCACCAATAAGTCTGCAAATAAATATTTCAAACTTTCTCATGGCAGTGTGAGATTGTCGTGAAGAGGCTGCCAATGATATGAATATAACTAACAGCAATAGATTTACTTATTTTGCTCTGGGCCCATTTAAGCACTTTTCAGTTATCTCCCATAAACAGTTTGGTTTTGTTTATTCACTGCAATTTAAAGCAATTCTCAATTGTGTTAGAGCAGCAAAATCCTCCGAAGGACTTAAACAGAATGCCCAATAGAGCACAGCTGAGAATGTCTCTTAAGATCTTGTATTTGAAGCAAAGCCCAAGTAATGCTTAATGTGCTCTGAAAACTTAATAAGAAAACATCTAATATTGTATTAAAGAATTGTCTTCATTTTTCTTATAAATTTCAAGGCCCAGAAAGATTAAGGGCCAGGTCAGAGACACTTAAGGAACAAAGTGAAGATCTTAGTTATAAGCATGCATGAAGGGGCCTCGGAAATCTGTACGCATCTCCTTTAAGAGCAAGAGAAGCCACGCCCCCTTTTGGAATCTTAGGCTGCCTTTTCTAGGGAACCGGAACAGGGCTTCAAATTCCACCTCGACTCCCATCAGAAACTATGTTACCCAGAAGGCAATGCTTCGGCCGTCGGGGGGGGGGCAGTCTCTGGGCTAATGACGGAACACGGAGACTGGCATTTCCTGGGCGTCTCGGACTTCCGGTCTTGACGTCATTCGTTGGTGGCCAGACACTTGGCAGCTGCGCAGTGCCTGGCGTGTGGTCAGTAGCTGCTTGTCAGGGTTTTGCGACCAAGCAGACAAGGACAGTGAGGACAGTAAGACTCACTTGCACCTATTATGTGAATTGTATCCCCGTCCTGCGCTCCTTCCCATTATAGAGTAGTCTGCCCAGCGCTTTGAGGTGCTTTAGCATCAGCCTTCTGCCTGCGTAACATCTGGAGGCGGCGACTTGAGCCTTGTGCGCATGTTATGCAGCTGAGACTTTGAGGGTCTGCCCTGCTCAAGACAGGAACGAGAGGTTCGCTGAGGCTACCCCAGCGGCTCTGGTCGTCCCCACTCACAGCCTTGCTCCTTCCACTGCACTCATGGCGGCGCCTGCGCTGGTGAGTGAAGCGCTCCACAAACCCAAACGCACTTGGCTCGCTTCGGTCCTAGGGGATCCTGCAACTTTTCTTACCCTTTTTGTGTCCTTCCGGGTCAGAAGTTAATAAGAGAAATTTTCTGTCTTGCTCTGTGTCCCCTTTCTCTTAGTCTCTGTGATTACTTTATAGTAATTACTAGTAGCAATTACTTTCGTTTTGTAGAATTGATACATGTACACACCACGTCTTGATCCTGTCTGCTTGTTGTGGAGACAGGGTGTTGCTATATAGTTCAGGCTGGAACTGAACTTGCTGTATAGCTCAGGCTGACCTCTAATTTGCATAAGCCCCCACTCTTAGCCGTCTCCACTGCTGGGATTACAGGCATCTACCACCAAGCCCGGCATCTTGATCATTTTTGCTCCTCCGTTATTCTCCCTCCCCACATTAACCAAATCCCCTTCTCATCCTCACAGAATCAGTCTCCCCGTTTCCTACCATCTCTTTTATTTTGCGTTTTATTTATAGTTTTGATCTTTCATATTAGAGAAACGACCTGATATTTAACCCGAGTCTGATTTATTTTACTTAGTATTGTGGTCTCAAGGCCCATCAGTTTTCCTGCAAATGACTCACATTAATTTTTCTTTTGGACTGACTTATACACCATTGTGGATATATCCTGCATTTTCTTTACCTGTTCGTTCATTGATTTAGCAGCTGTTGTAAACTGTGCTGCTATAAACATGAGTATGTATGCATCACTGTAATATGCCTTTAAGTTTTCCGTTTCTTGGTCCAGTGTTGAACTTGATAGTATACTGCACTTGGACTTCAGCTCTTTGGATCTGAAATGGGAATATTAATTCTTTATTGAGGGAACTGAAGATGGTATGCTTATGACATGTGTCTTGCAGTGCTCAGCACCACAAAGAGAACATCACTTTGTATGCCATTTCTGAGGAGGGACTCTGATCCTCAGGTCTCCCTGCCTCAGCCTTCTGTCTCCCTGAAAGCTGGGCGAAGGGATTAAAATCTCCAAGGCAGAAATGAGTTGGAAGCAGTATTTTTGGAATTGTTGCTCTCTAACAGGAATATGATGTCTCCTGACAAGGCTGGAAGACAAGCACTGGGTTTATCTTTCCAAATGCCTGATATGATAAATTTCTGTTTATCATAAGTGAATTTGGTCTTCCATGTAACAGCAATGAATCCATTTTTCTGTCTGTTGCATTTACCTATATTTGTAAAGAGAATCAATTACAGTATTCATTAATGAGAGGGACTAGGCTGTTGTGTCTTTTGGGATATAAATATGCAACAAACTCCAGGTTACTCTGTAGCTTACCACCCTGTTTACTCTCATAGCCCTGATCACCTTCTGGACTTCTCTTATTGATTCATTTTTTTGTCACTGGGCCTATTCTCTCATTTCATTCCAGCCTTTTTTTCTGGATCGTCCCTGCTTGTGTCACCTAAAATCTCCCCTAATCTTTGTAGTCATCTCATTCTCTTGTTTTCAGAGCCCTTAGAATCATCTGACTTTATCTTGCTCATTTATTGTTGAGACTGCCCCTAACTCTGGATTGTGAGTTCCTGGAAAAGAGCTCAGCTATAGCATTTACTCAACTAATGGTTGATGAATGAAAGATTTTACCCTCTAGGGTTTTCATCATCTTTGGATTAAATATTTCTACAAAGGCTACAAAGTCTACTACCAAGCCACCCTCCCATTCTTTTCTTTCACACCCTGTCCTTGGCATGTGTTGGCCTGAACTTGCCAGGCTTGTTGTCCTCCTCCATCTGTTACATCGTCTTGAGATCTGTGCAAGGCTGCCCCTTGGATGTGTGCTGTATTGAACTTTCCCAGGGCACTATAAGAACAAATGGGAAAAAATTCTCTGACAAGTCTTTCACTGGCACAGGAATGAGGGGGACTTTCAGGAACCTTCAGACAAAGGGAGCTGCATGGAGATAGGTTTTGATCACGGAGGCATGAGAAGGCCTGACGGGTTGCCAGGACTCTCAGAAACTGCTGAAATGTGTTTCAGGAAGTATGATTGTGTGGCTTTTGATCCTCATTCTACTAGGCCATCCTTACCCAAAACAAAAGTCATGCTACAGGCTACTGCCTGTGTTCTTACACCCATAGCTTACATTGTCCTTGGTTACTTGTGTTACCTGGTACATAATTAGTAATACCTTGGGGAAATGTGGTGACAGTGATTCAGAAAGAAAAAATAGGCTAGTGTCTCCTGGTGGAATCTGGCAGGGAGACTGCATGCTACAGTTACAGCTTGAGGGCAGGGAGAGCTTGTGTGAGCCCTGCCAAACCCTAAGCAGTTGTATCTCCTCAGGTACCTCTTCTGTGAAATGCATGATAAGGGCTCTTTGTTCTTACCTATATGTGAAAATATTTTCAGATGGCTGAAATGCTTTTAAATGTGAAAATTATTGGAAATTTTTTTTTGCCCTTGTCACTGTGAATTTACTCATGACAGAGGAAAGGGTTATACCCATAGACTCTGGACCAAAGGGACCTAAGTTCAAATCCTACTCAATAAACATATGGCTCTGAATGAGCTGACTTTGAGCCTCAGTTTGTGAAATAGAGATGATGACTGCATTTACCTGATAGGCTATGGGACAATTAATAAAATTTGCAAACATGCAAAACTTACTCCTGTGACATGTAACAGGTATTGCAGTGTTTGCTTTATGAAAATTCCCCTAACAATCTGGAATAGTATCAACTAATGTATTAATGTAGAAAAGGAAGAGACTTTTCTCAGGTCACACATATGATATATATTCAAGAAGCTGGATTTAAATCCCAGGAGACCTGGAGACTTAATTGCTTGAACAGAGCATGCAAAGGCCTCAAGGGCAGGCAAACAGATTAGTAAGGCTCAGCCGCTGCTGCCATAATCATTATTTGAATTATTATTTTCTTCCCATTCTTCTAATGTCCCAGAACATTTACTATCTACTCACAGTCCTCATGGAACTATCATTGTCTGTGTAATTCTTCAGTGACTTCTTACTGTTTTCCCTTCTATGCTTTCTATTCTGTCAAAGGCACCAGCTGCCTCTGTCTTGAACTTAGCACAGATAAGTTCAAGGGAGGTTTTGAGGAACTCAATGTCAGTGTTTCTGGCCTCGGGTCTACCTGAACTCTTGCCAATAACCAGTAGGCTGTAATGTCATTTTTTAGCTTCACAGCCACCCTTCCCATTTCTTTTTGATTTTCCAGACATTGGTGTCATTTGAAGATGTGGCTGTGACATTCACTGCGGAGGAATGGAGGCATCTGGATCTGGCCCAGAGAAGCCTATACCAGGAAGTGACGCTCCAGACCTGTGAGCTCCTAGTCTCTCTGGGTAAGGACTCATTTCTCTTCCAGAAAGAGGAACTTAAAGTCTCTTTTATTTCCCACACCTACTCCCTGCTACCATAGGCTTAGTTGGTTGAGAAAGCTTCAGGAGGCCACCTTCCTTGCTCCCTGCAGCCTCAGCATATTGTGGTCTGATCTCTTGGTCTCCTTCTTAGCACTTTCACCTGATGACCAGCACAAGCTAGCCTCAGTCTGAGGTCACTGGCCCAGCATGGTTGAGTCAAATGTCTTCATAGCTCAGTTAGCAGGGGCCTTCTCCAAGAAGAGCATGATTCAGACAGGCAGTAGAAAGTAATTGTGCTGTACTACTAGTATCTTTCTAAGCAACTTGTCCTCAATAAAAGGCTTTTTTCCCCCCTTTATCCGTCTTACTTGTCTGTCTTTTATTTATTTATTTTTTATTTTAAAGACATTAAGACAAAAGAGGACATAACAAAGCAGATCAGAACAGAAAAATTTAAGCAACACAGTATTTCACCACAAGACAACCCGATATAATAGTAGCTACCACAATGTTTCTTTCTTTGAAATAGTTGAGTTTACCTTCATATACAATAGTAATAAACATAACAAAATAATATAAAACCATTAAAGAGGATGAAAGTATTACAGGGCATTCAGAACCAAATAACAGAAAACGAACAATGGCTGCTATATTATCTCATTGTTCATAAAAATTTATTTATACTATCACACATAATAAAATCGAATAAGATACATGATAGAACCAATGGAAACAGAAGAACAAAAGCATGATAGGACTTCAAAGCAAGATGATATTAAATCAGCACTAGCTATTATAATGTTTTCTTCAAAATAGCTGTTCATACCATCATAGATAATAAAATCAAACAAAACAAGATAAAACCATTCCAACTAATGAATGAAAACATTATAAGACTTCAAAGCAATGAAATAGGGAATATGATTACCATAAACTCTTATGTACTCTTACCATTTCATATACCATGGAGACCATAAGGTATTTATACATTTTAGTTTGATTTATATCGCTTATGAGTATGGTCTCAAGTTGTGTCCATTTACTTATAAATATTTCAATGTGATCATTCTTTATAGCTGAGTAGTACTCCATTGTATAAAAATACCACAACTTTTTTATCCATTCCTCAGTTGATGGACACTTAGGTTGTTTCCAAGATTTGCCTATTACAAATTATGCTGCTATAAACATGGGTGCATATATGTCACTGTGGTGTGATGCTTTCAGTTCTTTGGGGAATATGTCCAGAAGTGGAATAGTTGGGTAACATGGAACTTCCAGTCCCATTTGAAGAATCTCCAGACTGACCACCACAGTAGTTGCACCAGTATACATTCCCACCAACAGTGCAGGAGAGTTCCTTTTCTCCCACCGCCTCTCCAGCATTTGTTGTTGGTAGTTTTCTTGATCCTGGCCATTTTTGCTGGAATGAGATGGAATCTCAGTGTGGTTTTAATTTGCATTTCTCTAATGACTAATGATGATGAACATTTTTTTTTATGTATTTATTTGCCATTTGTATTTCTTCATCTGAGAAGTGTGTATTCATCTCAGATGCCCATTTTTGGATTGGTTCTTTGAATTTTGGGTCTGATTTTTAAAAATTCTTTATATGTTTTAGACAGAAGTCCTTTGTCTGAGGGACAGTTCACTAAGATTTTTTTTTCCTAATTTGTGGGTTTTCTTTTCACTATACTGGAGATTTCTTTTGACATGCAGAAACTTTTTAATAAGACATGATCCCAGTTATTGATTCTGGGAAGTATTTCCTGTGCTGTTTGAGTTCTGTTCACGAATTCTCTACCTACCCCTATGTCTTCAAGATTTTTACCTAATTTGTTTTCCAACAGATTTAGTGTTTCTGTTTTAATGTTCAGATCTTTGATCCATTTAGATTTTAGTTTAGTACATGGTGACAGGCATGGATCTCGTTTTAGTTTTTGGCATATGGAGAGCCAGTTTTTCCGGCACCATTTATTAAAGAGACTGTCGTTCTTCCAGTGAACATGTTTGGCTCCTTTGTCAAAGATAAGGTGGTTGAGTATGTTTGTAATTGTGGTTGTATCTTCTAATCTATTCCACTGATCTTCAGATCTGTTTTTATTCCAGTACCATGTTGATTTTATTACAGTTGCTTTATATTATAATTTCAAGTCAGGGATTGTGATGGCTCCTGCCTTGCCTTTGCTGCTTAGAATTGCCTTTGCTATTCTAGGTCTCTTCTGGTTCCAGATGAATTTTAGGAGTGATTTCTCGAGATCTATGAGGTATGTTGATGGTATTTTCATTGGGATTGTACTGAATCTGTATAACAGTTTTGGGAGAATGGCCATTTTCACAATATTTATTGTTCCTATCCATGAGCAAGGGATGGCTTTCCATTTTCTGAGATCCTCTTTGATTTGTTTTATCGGGGTATTATAATTTTTCCCTGTATAGATCTTTTACTACTTTCGTCAGATTAATTCCTAAGTATTTCATTTTTTTGGGTGCTAGTGTGAAGAGTGTGGCTTCCCTTGTTTGTCTCTCAGTGAGTTTGTTGTTAGTGTATAGGAATGCTATTGATTTTTGAGTATTGATTTTGTATCCAGCTACATTGCTGAATTTATTATATCTAGGAGTTTTTTTTAATGGAGTTTGGGGGGGGCCTTCTATGTAGAGTATCATGTCATCTGCAGATAATGATAATTTTACTTCCTCTTTTCCTATGTTCATCCCTTTTATTTTTCTCTCTTATCTAATTGCTCTGGCTAGTATTTTCAGTACTATGTTGAATAGGAGCGGTGATGAGGGACGTCCTTGTCTGGTGTCTGATTTTAAGGAAAAGGCCTTCAGTTTTTGGCCATTTAATATGATGCTGGCTGTTGGTTTTTCATAGGTAGCCTTTATCAGACTGAGGTAAAGACCATCTATTCCAATTTTCTGAAAGATTCTTATCATGAATGAGTGTTGGACGTTATCCAAACTTTTCTGCATCTACAGAAATGATCATTTGATTCTTACTTTTGGCTTTATTGATATGGAGGATTACATTTATTGATTTATGTATGTTGAACCATCCTTGCATGGCTGTGATGAATCCCACTTGGTCGTGGTGTATAATCTTCTTAATGGATTTGATGCATCTTGTTTGCCAGTATTTTATTGAGGATTTTTGCCTCTGTGTTCATTAGGGAGATTGGCTTATAGTTCTCTTTTTTTTTGTTGGGTCTTTCTCAGGTATTGCTAGAGTAATATTTGCTTCCATTAATGACTTAGGAAGAACTGTTTCCCTTTTCATTTCATTGAAGAGTTTGAGGAGTGTCGACATTAAGTCTTTTTTGTATTTCCTGTAGAATTCTGCAGTGAATCTGTCTGGGCCTGGGCTCTTCTTTGTAAGTAAGGACTTAATTACATTTTGAATTTCATTAATAGAAATTGAGTTATTCAGCAGTTTTACATCTTCTTGACTCAGCTTTGGGACTTCATATGTTTCTAGCAGTCTGTCCATTTTTTCTGTGTTATTGAACCTTTGAGAGTAAAGGTTTTTAAAATAGGTGTTGATGATCTTCTGTATTTCCACAGAGTCTGTAATGATTTTGTTTTTTTCACTTGTTATTGCATGAATTTGAGCTTTTTCTTCATTTTTTAAATAAGGTTTTCTAGGGACTTATCAATTTTATTTATTCTTTCAAAGAACCAAGTCTTTGATTCATTAATTCTTTGGATTGGATTTAGTCTCTATTGCATTAATGTCTGCTCTGATTTTTATAATTACCTCCCTCTTTTCGCTTTGGGCTTAACTTGCTCTTCTTTTTCTAGATGTTTGAGGTGTAGCATCAGGTTATTTGTTTGTATTCGTTCTGTTTTCCTGATGTGGTAACTCAGTGCAATAAATTTTCCTCTGAGGACTGCTTTCATTGTATCCCACAGATTCCGGTAAATTGTATGTGTATTTTCATTCATTTGTAGGTATTGTTTAATTTCTTCTTTAATTTCCCTTGTGACCCACTGATTGGTCAAGAGTGTATTATTCAATTTCCATGTGTTTGTGGTTTTTTTGCAGTGTCTTTTATCATTAATTTGTAGTTTCATGGCGCTATGATCTGATAACATGCATGGGATAATTTCAACTCTTTTGCATTTACTTAAATATTTGCTGTGGGCTAGTACATGTTCTGTTTTAGAGAATGTCCCATGTACTGCTAAGAAGAATGTATCTTCTGAAGTTGTTGGATGGAACACTCTGTATATGTCTATGAAGTCCATTTGTTCACAGGTGTGATTTAATTCTGTTATTGCTTTGCTGATTTTGTCTGGTTGATCTGTCCCTTGGTGCCAATGTTGTGTTAAGATCTCCTGTTATAATTGTGTTATTGCTTATTAATTTTTCATTTCTGTTAATATTTGCTTTGTATAGCTAGGTGCTCTGGAATTTGGTGCATGTATATTTAAGATTGTTATCTTTTCCTCTTGAAGTTTTCTCCTAACTAGTATGTAGTGACCTTTATCTTTTTGGATCATTCTTGGTTTGAAGTTCACAAACAGAATAGCTATCCCTGCTTTTTTTGGATTCCTGCTGCATGAAGTATTGTTTTCCATACTTTGTCTTTCAGTCTGTGAGTTTCCTGTGAGACAGCACATGGTTGGATGTTGTTTCTTGATCCATTCTGCCGGTCTGTTTCTTGTAATAGGTGAACTGAGACCATTTACATTAATGGTTATAACTGTTATATATGGGGTTATTGTTGACATGTTATTTTTTTGCTGGTGGATCTTTATCTTTTCATTCTGTGTAATTGTCTGCATTTTCCTATGTGTATCTATAATGTCTTTCAGTATTCTTTGCAGGATTGGTTTGGTGATCATGAAGTTATTCAGTGTTTTTTCTCATGGAAGTATCTTATTTCTCCATCAACTTTGAAGGATAGTTTTGTAGGGTGCATCAGTCTAGGTTCTAGGTTGTTTTCCTTTAGAATCTGACATACTTAACTCCATACTCT